ATCGAAGTGCTTGAAAAGATGGTTGGTGAGAGGTCTGTGGAGTATGGTGGGTAAGGCAGAACTTCGACGCTCAATTCGTTTAATTTTCGAACGGCATTGACAGGCATTGTCGTGGACCAGGATTGGACCTCTTCTGTTGACCAGTGCCGACCAATTTTTCTTACATTTCGTCGATTTCCTGTCGGTTGCAGAAAGTTGTAGTGAATCACACTAGCCGTTGACTACCATACAGTAACCATGGTCTTTTTTTATGGTTTTACCCTTTGGGAAGTGCCTAGGTGACTCACTAGTGTTCAACTACTGTCCTGAACGTCTTCTGTTATCAACTACTGTCCTGAACGTCTTCTGTTATCGTAAAGGATCTACTTTTCAATACACGTGACGATCCGATCAAAAAAAGGATCGTTTTGGTTGCGCAAAAGCCAAGAAGTACAGACCTCGGGACGTGACAATTTCTGTCGATCGTTCAAATTGTGGGGTAGCCACTTTTTGAGCTTATTGACCTCAATAAAAATATTCTCGGACAGTCAAGCGGCGTTGGAAGCTCTTAGCCCCTACCGCGCAACGTCTAAATTGATAGCAAATTGCCAAAAACGACTCTCCTCGATAGGAAGACTTAACAGATTGTCTCTGGTCTGGATTCCAGGCCATATTGGCCTGGAAGGCAATGAGGCTGCTGACTTCCTTGCAAAGAAGGGTGCTTCATCGGACCAGAACCTGTCATTGGCATCGCTTTATGCTTTGCCAATGGACAATGAGAATGAACACCTGGATGGCAAGAAGATTTATGGACTTCTGGTAGAATCTTCCACGATTGGCTCACTCCAGGGCGTTTATTCACCCTTCGATGCTTGATACCAAACATACTATAATAGGGATGAACTATGATATCAAACAGGTCTTCTTACAGGTCACTGTCATTTGAATAATCATATGCAGAGACTCGGACTGTCGGAAGAGAGTGTGTGTCGCCTCTGTTTGGAAAATGATGAAACAGTAGATCATATACTTTGTGCCTGCCCCGCTGGGGACCAAATCAGGTTTTTAGAGTTCGGCAGAGCCGTACTCTTGCCATTTGACCTGAAAGACCACTCACCATATAAGCTAATCGGCTTCGTTAAGAAGCTGGGTTTTTTTGGTCGAGTATGAAAAGGTGTGAGCCACAATAAACCCTTGCGGGTTGCGGTGGAGGGTCGAATAGACCCACTCACCTTTGGACGTAACCTAAGCTAACCTCTCCAATGAGTTTTAAACCATCCAGTTTCAAACCGCCCAGTTCTTCCGTCATCCTATGCACCTTTTGTGATGGGTCAGTCTCCACCAGGGTCCTCAAATCCTCGACCTGGATTACTGTAGCTTAACCACGATACACTTATAACGGTATGCTACTCATTAGTTCCAAACGCGTCCAGTTCGCGCAGATGAGGTGAGTGCGAAGCATATCGGGGTTGTAACTTCGTAGACTTGCCTACATTCAATTTGAATTTCCCACAAGTTCTCTGTTGTGCTGTGAAGTTTAAGAATTATTACGAAATTATTGTCAAGAGTGGTTTTCAAACATTTTTAATTAGCTTTTGTCAATTTAGTGTCGTATTCGAAGCTTCAATAATTAAACAAAAATACGAGTAGGTAGGTATATAACTAAGAATGCCTGGTTGTGCGGTTTTTGGTTGTAATAATTACAACAGAGTGACAAAAGGGACCAATATTAAGTATTTTCGATTCCCAAAGAGCAAAGAACTGTCTAAACAATGGATTTCAGCATGTAGGAGGAAGGACAACATCAATTTGAAANGTGCAACTGTTCTCTAATTCTGTTTCGAAGGCAGTTTCATATTGTGGAAAAAGCGGATTAATGCCATCAGAGTTACCCTGGGAACAAGTATCAGACTTCGTTCAGCTCATTAACAGATGGTTTGACGTTATGAATTCGAAAACGAAAATAAGGGCTAACGAACCATCTAAAAACGCATTTGGTATAAATTTAGAGGATCAGAAAAAAGTACTAGAAAAAACTTCCAATGTGATTAAAACACTACGAGTGGGAAAACATAAATCCTTGATTCAGTTTCAGAAAGGTATACTTTTGAGTAATAGATCAATTGTTGAGCTTTTCCTTTATCTTCAGAAGCGGCACTCTGATGTCCAATATATTCTTACTACGCGACTGAATCAGGATATTCTGGAAAACTTCTTTTCTTACATCCGAGGAATGGGGTTATCTAATGATCATCCAAATCCACTGGATTTCATTCATAGAATGCGTTGGATCATTTTGGGAAAACACTCGGCATCAGTTTTCACTGAGAACAGGAATACCGAAGAAACCGGAAAGCAATGTTTAATCCAACCTCTAGAACAAACTTCAGAACATCCTGAGTTTGAAGAGTTAAACTGCATTACTGCTGATATGTTTGGGAATATATCAACGGGAGCGGAATGTCTGGAAAACTCCCGGGAATTCCAAGATGAAGAAAATTTGATTCCTTATTCCTTTATAAATCCATGTTATGAAAAATGTCACACTGATGGACCAGATATGTCGCAAGAGGCGTTGGAGTTATTCGGATTAAAAGAAAAAATAAACAATGACTCATTAACTTATATAGCGGGTTATGTGGCTCATAAATTCAAGAAAAAAAATAATTTGGGAACGGAAGTTCTTCCAGCTTCTTTCAAAGATTTGGATTGTCAAAAATATTGTCAAAAGTCGGAAATATCATCCCAGTATGTATCACCCTCGGTTTCATCAATAGGGTGAGAAAATGACTCATAATTTTAGTATTCAGTAGACTCAGGAAACAAATATACCTACTTCTGAAAAAATCAACATGTATGTATTTGTGCATCAAGACTAATAATTCCATTTTCATGCGAAAATGCCTGGAGATATTCGACCGAATATCATTCTTCTTCTAATGAATTGTGCGTTGTCCGGCTCCGTGCTTCGCAGTGACGTCACAAGTCAGGACAGAGCGGACAGAGAGATGCGCGTCGGCATACCGTTATGAGTATATCGTGAGCTTAACTACTTCGGGGCTCATCACCAGAATGAAATTTTGCAAACCAACGTCAAACAATGCGTCTTTAAACACTATCATTGCCAAAAGTTGCGGTAATTTTTAGGGTTGTTTTGGCAGCTCTTTGGTTCAATTTGGTGAAAAAATGAACATCATCAATGAATAGAGTACAACATTTTGAACGACAGTAGAATAAATATTTATTGAGATATGGAGTACAAAAATATATGACATTAAAACGGACAAAAGTAGTAATTTTTGTTCCGAATGATGTGTCATCAATGCAAAAACCTAAAAATTTCATCATTTCTGTATATTTGATTGCATTGTTATTAATGTTATTGATGAAACCAATTGAGAATACGAACCTTTCTTCATCATTCTTCATTTATATATAATTGTAGTACCAACAGAAAATAATTTCATTATACCTTGCAGTTGGAATTTGGTAGTGAATTTATATAGATAATTGTTTCAATAGATCGATCCTTGTGGTAAATTGCAAGTTGAATTTTGAATAATTTTGNCATCACAGTCTTTAGCGCCCAGTATAAAGTGTTTAGAAGCAACAAAATATAAAAAACAATGTTTTTGAGGTTATTGATTGATTTTTCAGAAATTAATATAAATACTTGTCAAAACTTCCTAAATATATATTGCTATTGAAGAAGTTGTTAGTAGTTATTTGTTAACTACAATTGGTGACCCCGAAAAAGAACGTTAACACTGTCTAGAAAAAGATGGTTAAACTTCTGCAACAACTCAAATAATCAATCAACAACCTCACACATATTGTTTTTTTAATGAGTTACACCGAAAGAAGATTTAGGTGTTATCAGTAGCGCTGAGATGGTATATGAAATGACCCTAAGAATCCCTGGAGAGATGGTTGTTGAAGATGCAAGATCCAACCCTAATCACGAAGAATTTTTAAACAGCCTCAAGAAGAAAATGAATGGAAAGAAAACAACACAAGTTTCCGATCACAGCAACAGGAAAAGATTCATATATAAAGAATTACCAACTGCTACATATGTTTTCGTCAGAATAGATGCAGTCAAAAAACCTTTGCAACAGCCATATAATCACGAAGAATTTTTAAACAGCCTCAAGAAGAAAATGAATGAAATGAAAACAACACAAGGTTCCGATCACAGCAACAGGAAAATATTCATATATAAAGAATTACCAACTGCTACATATGTTTTCGTCAGAATAGATGCAGTCAAAAAACCTTTGCAACAGCCATATTCTGGACCATACAAAGTTTTAAAGCGAAATGACAAATATTTCACGGTTTTAATCAACAATAAGGAAAAAAATATATCCATAGAGAGACTCAAACCAGCTTTTATATAGAATCTTCAGGATGAACCAGATATCAACCAAATTGGCCGTCAAAATCTTACTACTGAAAATGAACACGAAATGGAGAAAGTTTCTACGGAAAGGTCCTACACCACTCGCTCTGGAAGGAAAGTTAAATTTTTTATTTAAGACATCCATAGTCTCAATCAGAGGGGGGAGTAATGTGATATCACATCATCACGGTCATGAGCGCCCAGTATAAAGTGTTTAGAAGAAACAAAATATAAAAAAAACAATGTGTCTAAGGTTGTTGATTGATTTGTCAGAAACTATTATGAATAGTTGCCAAAACTTCTTAAATATATATTGCTATTGAAGAAGTTATTAGTAGTAACGTGTTAGGAATCATACGTTAAAAGGCAAGACCTTGTTAGTCCTTAGCTCGCACAAGTTTCGACTTCGTTGGGGTGCGACAGCTGGTTAACGGAAAAACATTTTTTTTAATAGTTATTTGTTGACTACAGTCATATGTATCAAATGCTTTACATAAAAAAAAGATAGGAACAGGAGACGATATTTTTCATTTTTATCACGGTTTTGTATATTTATTTTAATTTATTCGGTTATCTTTCACCTTCTGAGGATTTGAAAATGATAAAAAAAGAAACACAATTGATGAGAGAACACTTTACAGATTTTTTATTGGCAAAACTGGAATAGCAACAAAAATCTTAAACAGTCATTCATATACATTACTACAAAAAGTTTTTAATTTTTTCATTCTCCATAATTGGCAGGCTATTCCAAAAATCGTTGTCTCCGATTCGGTCGAATTTATCCATGAAAATATGACCGGGTCCGTTTATCCTGAGAACATTCAATGACTTGCTACTTGGATCCAGTGGTAGCCATTTAAAGTCTCCAAAACTAGGTTCACTAAAAGAGTCGCAGAGTTAGACAGACAACAAGATCTGAGCCTAAGGGATATTATAGAATTGAAGGTAGGCAATTTACAAACTCTATGTTGCATACCATATATTTCAGTGAATTGGAACCATATGCAAAGTCTATATATTGATTTTAGGAAAAAAGTTATTTCTCTTGAAAAGGACTAGAACCTTAAGTGCAATTACCGATTATCGTATATGAGGTGTGTCAGGAAATTTTTGTTCAAGAATGAAAAAACTTTATTTTCACAATATCGAAAAATGTTGTTGAGAAAAGTTACCTTGAATTGAAAGTCACGTATAATTATGCAATTTCATTGGTTTCAAACATTTTTTTCATTTCTCTAAACTACAATAACGTCGAAAATTTAACTGTTATTATTATACATGTGAAGTAGTTAAAACATGAATAAACGAAATGGTTATGTGTTTGTTGATTCCAGAGATGTTCATAATTGAAATTAGACGAATCGATAATGATTTATGAAGTAAAAATGTTGAAGAAAAAATAAAAAGCCTAATTTTTGATTGTAAATTAATGCTCTTGCATGATTGATCGTGTTTTTTGAATTTGAAAATTTTTGATATTGTCAAAAATGAAGGTACTCCAATACAGAGCAGAATTGATATTTGTTGACAAACCTCGTATAAGACTGAAATAATTTGATAACCGATAGTTGCATATGAGGTTTCAGTTCTTTCATGGAGAAAAAAACTTATTATTAAAATTGATGACAAAAAGTTTTTCATATGGTTCCAACTTACTTACTCCAAATCTACTGGAGAGCATAGTATATTTCCAGCTCTTCCTCAAAAAGGACCCCGTTTTCCCTTTTTCTTCATAATGTTAGTTCAGATTTGAATACATGTTACCTATATCCAATTTTCAAAAAACAACCGTACACTTATTTCTGTTGGTGATGTACCCAATCAGTTATTATTGTTGCAACTGGGTTAAATGAGAAAGTATATGGTCTTCCTCATACATGAAGAAAAGATTCAGATGTTTATCTATCGCCTCTTCAGTCGTTATCTTTGAAATGGTGAACTGGAGACTAAAACCACCGAGAAACTCACTTCGTCTTCGCATAACTGGTGATGAATTCAGTGAAGAGTTGCATCATTTTCCTGTCTTCAGCTTCAAGTATACATGGAGTTCCAATTATTTTGAAGAGTAATTTACAGTCGTTACAATGGCTTACTCCTATGAACGAAATTTACGATATGTGATGACACTGGCCAATACTTGGTGAAAATACTTAATGTAACACTTCATTGTGAGATTTTCACTCAACAGTTTATAAAACAGCAACACGAGTTTAGCTATACAATAGCTTTCCCAGGCAACTCGTGTTGCGGTTTTGTGAACTGTTGAGAGAAAATCTCACAATAAAGTGTTAAAAATATGGTAGAACTGACCGATACTTATTAATAATTTATTATAACGTAATCAAATAACACACTTTAATGTGAGATTTCCAGTTGAAAGTTTGCAAAACCACAACACGTGTTTCGCTATACACGTCACAATACTGTTATTAACAGTATTGTGACGCACATTGAAGTGTGTTTTTTGAATAAGTAATGAAGTGTTACTTGAATAATAAGTCGTAAGTACTGATATATACCTTCCCACAAGTGCACGGTATGCGATAGACCCCTGCTGCTGTTCCTTTTGTCTTTTACCGACCTGATGCTTTGTTGTATCTTCCTGGTGGGTTTGAAAACTGTTTCAATGTCGTGTTTCTCCAATATTTTTCCAATTCTGCCTGTGACCCTAGGGATATATGGTAGATACGCGCGTGCAACCATCCGATCCTTCTCCCCGTTTTGAACCGTATGACTCTTCAATTTTATGGTTTCGTTGATCTCGGGTAGACTGTATCCATTCGATATCAAGATCACTCGAAGGTGTCCCAGTTCTTCTTCTAGATGCTTTGGTTCACATGTTCTTCGAGACCGTTCCGTTAGAATGGACTACTATCTTTTGGCTAGAATGGTGGTTCGATAGTGCGTGCAGGTACCTATCCGTGTGCATAGGTTTTCGGTGCACTTTATGGGTTAGTCTAGCACCACATCGTTCGATTAGTACATCTATGAATGCTATCCGCTGATCCTGTTCAGTCTCTGCTTGGGTGTTGAGCGTTCAAGTGGTCTAGAAAATTGTTCAGAGCGTCTCTTCCATGTTTCCAGATGACGAAGGTGTCATCCACGTAACGTAGCCACAAGGTCGGATTTGATTTAAAGATGTCGATTGCTATCTCTTCAAAACGTTCCACGAAGTAGTTGGCTATGACTGGGCTAAGTGGACTGCCCATCGCCATGCCATCTAGTTGCTCATAGAAGTTTCATAGAAGAGCGACAATAGTCCTCTAGAGAGTCTTCCAGTGGAACATTGGTAAACATTGTACGCACTATCGAACCATCCTAGCCAAAAGAGAGGAGTTATTCCCATTCTAACGGAACAGACTCGAAGAATATGTGAACCAGAGCATTAGAGAAAGAACTGGGACACCTTCGAGTAACCTTGAGATCGAATGAATACAGTGTACCAGAGAATAACGAAGTCATGAAACTGAAGAGTCATACGGTTCAAAACGGGGAGAAGGATCGGATGGTAGCACGCACGTATCTATCATATATCCCTTGGGTCACAGACAAAATTGGAAAACTATCGGAGAAACACGACATTAAAAGTTTTCAAACCCACCAGGAAGATACAACAAAGCCTCAGGTCGGCAAAAGACAAAAGGAACCCAGGTAGAAAACAGTCAATGAATGTTAACTACGAACCCTTAACCATTTTGTCATATTAGAAAACCTATATTTGTCAATAATCTAATTTTCAGGATATGAATTATATCAGACAAGTCCTTTGCTATATCAGGCTTGTGATATTTGGGTTATCAAAAAACCTGGAAGGCTTTTTTCAGGATCTTTTTCAGAATCTAGCACCCCCAGGACATGCCTAGAAGAACTCCATATACAGTCCGTTTCATTTATCAAGTGGTATAATGTTGCTATATTCTAAACGGTAACAGATATGAAGACGATTAAATGGAAAAAACATAACTATCGTGGGGAACAGTATAATGGCCAGGGAAAAATTTACAGGGAATTTCGCTCTTCTCGAAATATAGGTACAAGGAACACTGAAAATGAAAATTTTATTATATTCGAAATGTACTATAACGATGTAACAATAATTCTTTGATTGAACGTTTCGTGTCAACACGGTCACCGTAAACTTTTTTTCGAATATGTTCCTGTCTATTTCTTTACAAATATTGATAAAGCAATACAATTCGGTTGTATATCACACTTAACATTTTTATAGCATCCTCAGTGATAAAGATATCTTTTGAAAATTGTTTTGATTTCTTCAAAACGTATTCAACTATTGGCATACCTCAGACATGACATAACCCAATAGTTTCGATAACAACATACCCCAAAACAACGAAAATTCGTATTTTTCTTTTTTGGACTTTTTTGCATTATGTACAGCAATCCTTGTTTCAAGGCTGATTTCTCTCGAATCAATTTTTATACGGAATAATTCTCAATCCTGAAAGTAACTAAAATATAATTTTTTTGTTAAAATACAATTGTTGTGTGATTTGGTACAATTAAATATCTTCTAACTTCATTTACCATTGTGAACTCGTAGGTATTGCTTGGTTTCTGTGCACATATCAAAGACTAGTTGTTGCCCGCGCCTTCGCCCGCGTAGAATTTGGTTGGTCACATTTAATTTCGTGACAGACTATTTTAAACAAATATATTTTTTGATAACCCAAAACTTCAGGTTTCCAACTTCAATACGGAAATTCAATACAATCTTGGAACCTTTATTTTCCCCCCTTGGGGGGTGGAAATTCCTGATTCTCTTTTTTGATGCTTATTTACGCTATACAAGGAATCTACCTGCATATTTCAAGATTCTCGGTTCGGCTGTACGTTAATATAAGAGCGGGCAACAGCTAGTAATTTATATTTTACTTGGAAAATATAAATATAATAAGTAACTAAAAAAGAAATTTTGTTGTTACTGGAAGTGTGGGGAACCAAACAACTGTTTCGGGTAAGAAAATATTACCTAAGTGAAATAAACTTTTGTTTTCAAATTGAATTAGTCAGTTACAAAAATATTTTTAACCAAGATTGTTCTTTACGAGAAATTGCCCACGAACTAGGGATTTCTATGAAATCTACCAGGAATATTTAAAAAAAAACAAATACAAATGCTACATGAAACACAAAGTTAATCACCTTACTGAAAGAGATAACGGAAAAAGAGTACGATTTGCGAATTGGTTGAGATGAAGAAATAGGGAAGTTGGAAATATTTGATAAACAAATAGACGGACGAATTGAAATTCACCAGTAATGGTTGGTTTAACAGAAACATCTACTATAGGTGGAATAAAATACATAAACAAATGCATAAAGAAACAAATTTCCAGGAAATATCCTAGATCCTTTTTTACGATAAGTATTTGAATGTTGATATGTATCTACAATAAATTTAATAGTTACTCAGATGAATTGCCACTGAACATTTCAAACAAAAAAAAAAGAGATGCATGTAATAGCATTATATCAATCATGCTAGAAAATTGCCACAGCAATTGTATGGACTGTGAATTCAACAAAGTGGTCGTCAATTCGATCATCTATTATAGTTCGTCATGTAAAAGTCATTTTCTGTATTTGTTTAATTTTTTGTCAAAAATCAATCAAGAAATAAATTGTTTTTCTGTTTGATTGTTGTCACTGATGATGCTACTTATTTTGAATGAAACGCTATAAAAAACGAGTGTGATATGCCACGGAATTGTGATTTTATCGCTTCATCAAAATTTTCAACAGAAAAGACAGGTTCTTATTTGAAAAAATAACTTGATGGTGTCCGTGTTGACACGAAACGTTCAATCAAAGATTCATTGTTACATCGTTATAGTTAATATCGAATATAATTAAACTTTCCTTATCCATTTTTTGAAATATTCTGAATTAACAATTCTATTCGTGAACAACCAAAAAAACATCATTTTTAGTTTTCCGTGTATAACTCGAGAAGGGTGAAATAATGGTACGACACAATATACATAAGTATATGAACAATACTCCAAACTGATTTGATATTTACGAGTATAAAGCAATAAAAGTTGCTGAGATGTTCAGTTCGAAATAGCGTTTCAGGTTTCTGAGAAGCTGCCTTAAACTATTCCAGTAACATAATTGTACCAACATTATTAAGCTATCTAATTTGACACTCACCAAATTCATCGACGGAGATAACGAAATTATTATAGAAAACTGATGCCTTGTTTTTCGTAGAATTAAAATCGTGTTGGTGTTTGTCGACACAAGACGAAATTTTTTCCAGATTTTTATTGAGATATAAAACCCCTTATTTTTGCCGAAGAGGGGTATTGGCAGCTGCTGTTTTGCATTCAATGGAAGGAAAAGACAAGTGTGGTGTCGCCAAAAACAATAGATAGATTGTTGAGGTATAATATAAAAAGGGTTATAGACAATATGCATCTCTGGAGAACACCAACGTAGATGGTAAGTTATCCGAAAGTGAACAGTCCATAGCTATTTGTAAGGAATGGTATTTGAGACAGCTGGAAAACCACTAACAAAGACAATCATAACATTGAAGGTATTTTCCTCACAGGCCTTGAAATATCGAGCCCGATACTCTATATTTGTAGATTCAATTATTTCAAAAGGGTGTGACATATATGTGAGAAGGTGTGAAGATTCTGCAGAAAATACCTTCCCTACATCATAATAAATAAAAGCAATATCGCATTTTTCAAGTACGAAGAAAAGTATTTCATCATGACCAGAAGCTTTTTGATGTTCAGCAGTTTTAATCGTCTAATATGTTGTTACAATATCTCGATTGTACAGTGGTGGAGGACAGTGGGTGGTGGTATTATTCCTGAAACTGTACAAAAAGGATGAAAATGGTCCAACAAATATATTTGTTTTTTTCAATTTAGAGTTGTAGCTTTGAGAAATTTTGACAAATGGCTTCAGGCACTAANTAGTTATTTTTTAAAGGTCTCGGAAAAGACTCCTGTTGGAATCCTGAGTTTTTTCATCGTATCTCAATTAGTTCATGAGTTATAATGAGTTTCAACATACAAAGAAAACTAGTGAGAATGATGTGTAAGAATGATATGCACAGTAGCTACTGTGCTAGCGAAACACGTTGTGATTATATTTTTTCAAATAAAGTTTGTGGAGATCAAATCCTGAGGTGTAGTTTTTGAAATTCATTGCATTGTCAATCTGTATATTGTTGTGTTCAAAGGTGTATTTCATAAATTTATATTTTTTAATATTCAGTGGAAGCTTGTTTAGTATGCACCATTCATGTATCTGATTAACTTCCTTCTGCAGAATAAGATAGTCCTCTGTTGATTCAATAGGTCTGGAAATCTTGAAGTCGTCAGCAAAGAGTAATATGTTACTAGAGATATTCCAAGTAATATCATTCATAACCAAAAAAAAAGTAGAAGAGGAGCTAGATTAGGTACTTCCTTGAGGAGCACCACTAGCTGGAGTGAATTCGACTGATTTGTGTCCTTTGTATTACACAAACAGCGTACGATTCTGAAGATAAGACTGTAGTAAATTCAACAGTTCACTATCGAATCCAACATAAAAAAGTTTATTTAGTGGAATGTGATGGTTCAATTTATCAAAGGCCTTTGAGAAGTCCGTATAGATTGTATCCACCTGTAGCTGTTTATATCTAACACACATGCGATTCATTATTGTTGAACGTTTGTTGAATAGAGAGTTATACTATTTCTCACATTAGGAAAAATGTTGTTATACAGACACATATCAAAGACATTTGCAAAGTTGGACAGAATTGTTATGGATCGATAGTTCAGAATGTTATTTAGAGCCCCAGATTACAATATTGGGCATATTTTTGATACTTTCCATCTATCGGGAAAACACTCTGTCTTTAAGACCATGTTAAAAATCAATTGAAGCGACTTTGCAAAAATATATGCACAGTGTTTTACTATAAAGCTCGGAATTTTGAAATCTCCAGCTGTAAATTTTGGTTTCAGTTTTTTTGAGAGTATGCAAAACTTCTTCTTCAGAGAATGCATTTATTGTTATTGTAGAAAAATTCGTTGAGAGGTTGGAATTATATATGTCCAAAATGAGGAGGAATCAGTTCTAATCGAGTTTTCTGCTTTTTGTTTGTACTCCTTGTAGGTTTGTGATATCTAGGTTTTTATTGACATATGAAGATTTCTAAACTGATCGCGTATATTTTCTGAATAGTTTCATTTTAATTTTCAAATACTTTATCTTCAAGTTTGATCTCGTTAATGATATCCCTGTTGAACATGGATGGATATTCACTGGTGAAATTCGGTCTAAGAGGAACACTTTGGTCCATTATTGAATGAATTATTATAGAAAGTGTCTATTGCCAAGTTTAGTTCGGTACAGTTTTCAATAACTGATCAATCTGTATTCATAAACAAAGAATAAAGTAGCGAAAAATTTGCTTTACGAAAATTAAAAAAAAACGCTTTGTCATTATACGGAATTCCACTTTTCTGTCTCTTAAATACTAGAGAAATATTGAAAGCTGGATGACAATCATCTTCAGAGAATGGTAAGTCTTCATGAATGACATTACAGCCATAATTGTTTGATAGTACGAGATCTAGAAATCGATCTGATTCATCGAGCACATTGTTGAATTGTTTCAGGTCATAGAAATTGATAGATTGTTGACGGTTTTGCAAGTTGTGATTTCTATCCTCTGATGCATCTATCTACTATATAAAAATGGATGTTTGTTGGTTTTTTGGTGAGTGATAAACTTCTTCATCGCTCAACCAATCGTGATGAAACTTGACATGTATAAGTAATTTTTCATAGAGAAGGTTTTTAGGCTATCAATTTTACTGTAACTCACAACTAGATGGCGCTGCAGAACAATTTTTTGAAAGCACTGTTCTATAACTCTGCGCACGCCTAAGTTCGTTGATTTTGATTCTGTCAAAACATTGGAACAGCAGCGATACAGCAACATAGTACTAATTAGTACTACAACTACCAAATTCCACGCGGGCGAAACCGCGGGCAACAACTAGATATTTATAAAAAGTGGTTGGTTGAAATGAATATAGAGAACTTACCCGTATTAAAGAGTATTTGTTATTTTCTGAAATATGTTCATCGCCTAAATAATGCTTCCTCACTTCCGTAACTACATTCAATTTCAGTTCCTCTTTGACAGTATCCTGGATATCCAGCACGTAAGGCATTATTTCATTCCATCTTGAATCTAGCTCTCCAAGCGTCTTCGTCACCACGAAAACTACAAATATACCTGTGTAAATAATCTTTAAAATTCCTAGGAAGGAAGTGTTGTTTGTAATTCCTCCCTTTTGAGTCATGAATGTAAATTTTTTCCTTCAGCTCTCAAGAGCTAAAGACGCCATCTATGGGAGGAGCAACTCACTCTTCTAAGATAAACTTTAAGGTCATTGTACTAAATTATACCCAAGCCTCCAGCTAGTTTTATCCAACTGTTTGTTTGCAAAGTCAGAAGCTTTGATAATTGCTTCTTATAGCTCTTTAATTCAACACAAATACTGCTCTCTTTCACCAGAACT